GCCAGCATGTGTGGAACGGCTGGGAAGATTTTTGTGAGACTATCTACCCTCCAAGAGAAAAAACACCCAATGCTATCGAAGTTCTTGCTGCATGGCTCAGAAGACGGGTTGTTGTGTTGAGTCTCTCCCAATCCTGCAGTGTGCATCAGAGTCATCAGAGGTTCCGAGCGGGCTTGTTTACAAACACCGTGGTGGGTCCGTTGATCGACGTCTCTGCCTACAGCTTCGCGCCTCAATCCTTAGTGGCGCCGTTTGGAGGCCGCGGGGCGCACGAAGGTGGGACCTTCGACCTGCTGCCGCCTTGTTTTCTTCTTCTGAAGGCCTAGATGTGGTCTGGAACGCCCTCTTGGCGCCCTTTATTCTCAAAGAGAAGCTGACGAGGCCAGTAGATGCGATTGTGTGCCTGCAGTGAGCCCAGCATTGCTAGTGAGTAGAGGAATCCTAGATCAGACTCCATTTGGGGCCCCCAGCACGAGCTGGGTTTGGGGTGGTGGGGAGACATTGACATGGTTCTGCTCATGATGCTGGCTCGTGCAGTCGGGCAGCAGTGACGATGCTTTTCTGCCCGGGCTCCTTTGTAGACCCGTCGGCTCCAGCACTGGCAACCTACCCAGCTCAAGAAGTACAAATAGGCTTGTGGTGGCAGGACTGCAATGAAAGCAAGAGTCTGCGCTCAAGTAATAATCACAAGGCTCACATAGGATGCAGCTCCTAACATTCCTCGGATTCCGGTCGTGCACCTGTTCACACAAACCCCAAGAACGAACGCAGACAGGTTTCCCAGTTTTTTTCTTCACAATCCTGGGTGCAATAGAGCATCGTCGAGCATACTCGCATGGCTTCCACATCGATGTTCTGTCTCACCCAGCCTAAGGGCCTAGCAACCCAGCAATCTAGCAGCGAGCATTCCCTGTGCTGCGTCGTGCTAGGCACCGTGCAGTGGGCAGTGCACTGGTCATGACTGGAAGCATGGGCTCTGCGGTATTCGGCAACCAGAAGGATCTGTGACCGGGCCCCGTGAGGGGCTGCACCCTGAAATCACAATGTTCTTGAGGACCCGATATACACGCTGGAGTACATTGAAGACACGATGATCAACCTCCGGGTTCTGATTTACTTCCTCGTCTTCATCTCATGGTACTTTACATGACCAGATGACCAGAACCTTGTGTTTTTGCAGCTGTCGTCTGTCGTCGTTCGAATGCCAGACAGTTGGACAACTTCTGACAGGTATCTCTTCAATCAGTTTTACCTTATGCGGTGGCCTAACGGCTCCCTGATCAAGGGATTGTCTTACGGCTGGACGGCGGGATCACTTGCTGGCCTCTTGTCTGTGCACGTTAAGCCGGGTTCAATGCGTCTCTCGCAATGTTCTGAGATGTTGAGAAGAACACCGCCAAGGAAACATGTGGTGCACAAAAATCGCTATTGTTGCCGACTTAGTGGGAGAAGCCGCCGCAAGGCTTAGGCCTTAGGAGAAACCTGGAGATGGGCCCAGGAGCTGATACAGACCAGCATTGCTTTGGGGGACCCGGAGCCTTGGAAGACTTGGATTCCCTACACAGCCTTGCTCCATGGCAGAGACTGGAACGACCAACCGGACCGGAGTCTTCGGTTTCTCCTTGCCTTGACTGAGGCTCGGGGCGGCGTTCTTCGCGATCGTGAACGTAATCTTCCTGACCAAGGGACTTCAGCACTACGAAGCTTTCTTTATGATCACCACAGTTGAGGGCTCTATGATTCTGTCAGCTAGCCTCTCTGGTGCAATAGTCTTGCTCGATGTCCGTGACCTGGAAGTCTGGCGAATCTGCATGTACTCGCTGTGCGTGCTGCTCGTCATCTCCGGCATGGTCACTGTTTTCAGGGGTGAGGCAAGCAGCAAGAGTTCCCTGATGAGCGGCAATGCCAGCACCTCGCTGAAGCTTTAAAGCAAAAGCGAAAACACACCTCTGAGTCTTCCATTCTTGTCTGCTTACTGCTTTGGTCCTGAGCACATTGCTCAAAGGTATAGCTGACTCAGACATCAAGGACAAGGCAGAAAAGGCGGTGGCGATCCCCACGATTCCTCCATCTCCCCAAGGCTCCACGAGCTCGTACACTGGCCGAGTCCATGCTGGTGTGCCGCCAAGCCCAACTACCTCCATTATTTCGGACAAGGAGGGACACTGCGTTGTGTGACACTGCATGTCTCGTGCCGGTATCCCAATGCAGTGACTAGTGATTTGGCCTCAAGTTCTTCATATGAGAGAGAGTTGGAAAGGGTTGACTGGAGGGACAAGGAGGAGTCGCGTGCTCGCACATTTTGAGATGTCATTGCTCGGTCAGGAAGGCAATGGTCGCTTACGAGCCATCAGCTCGGAGGACATCGAAAATGGCCCACTCCTGAAACGCCTCAGAAGTCTAGAGGTTCGGTTTTTCAGTGTCACAGAAATTTGGGGGTGATTTCGACCGAGGTGTCATTGTGATCAACGATAGACCGACGCATCCACCCACGATCGCTGAGAACGATGTTGAGGATTGTCATTTGGCAATTTGCAAACTTGGGGAAAGGCATGTTGTGTTCCCTGAGCTCCGTTTTCTGTATTGAGACAGACTGGTCATGCTTTTAAGGCATCAGGTTGGATCACCCACCGCCTGGAAAGAAACCAAAAAGTGTTCCAGACTCAGTCATTGGTGCACGGTCGGCAAACGCCGGAGACATTGAGACGATGCTTGGCCGGATGCGAAAGGTTCAATGAGGTCGCAGCCCCTTCACTCTTTTCGACGTTTCGGTGTGCCGTCTGTTTCTCGAATCCGGGCCTTGAGTCGAGGATCCCTCTGACGGGGACGGCCGAAGGCCTGACTCGTCAGATAACATTCACGGAGGACGGGCTCATCAAGCTCTAGTACTTCGTGCCTCAACACAGCACTTCAGTGCTCAAAATGGACAGGGAACGTCGAAACGAAATATGCTTCCTGCGTTTCGTGGACATGTGGATACATGCGGCTCAGGTGCAAACTGAATTTCGGTGGTTGGAGGACGAATCATTGGCATCTTCTTCGTTGCATCAGATTGGCTTCAAGCCTGGCAATACGAAATCGTATTGGTCAGGATATCGGCCAATAATTCGATTGCATCTTGGGTGGATGCCTGCTTGTCACCACTGTGAGACCGGCATGCTCAGCATCCTGGTCAGCTTACAGGGGACGGCAGTGGCATCTCCAAGCAAACTTGGGGTCTGTTTTTGCGCAGCTGCCGAAGTCACTAGTACCTCACTCCAATGCCCAGCTTTGATTCATGAAGTACTTAAGGCCTCGTAGTGCCAGCCTGCACTCTGCATTTGTTGCCTTTTGGCAGCAGCATCTAGATGTGTGACATGCTGACGCACGCAGAACACGCATTTCTAGTAGCAGCGATTCTGGCGATTGCCGGCTCAGAGCTCCGGTGATTTGAAACTGCACTCGCCCAGCCTCTGCAGTCGAGTCGAGACAGGCAGCCAGGCAACCTCTCTTTGATCACTTTGATCTGCCGGAGGAGGTGACGGGCCTGAACCACTCCGCGTCAAGCAGGGTGAGGTGTTGGAGCTCACGGCACACATATCCGAGCTTCGCGACACGTGCGCGACCGAATCCTGAGCCTCACGAGAAAGCCTCTGCTCTCTGCCCTCTGCGCAAGGCTGCACTTCACACTGCGGAGAGGCTCGGTGTGCGGCGTGGTGCCTAAGAGGCATCGTTGTCAAAACTCTGCGAGGTGCCGGCGGTGCCGGTGCCACCGCCGCGGCCGCCGCGGCTGCAGCCGGATGAGCTGAACGGCTCGTGGAAACAGGGCCGTGCCCGCCGGGCGAAGCGGCGAAGCGAAGCAAACCGCGAGAGAGGTGGCGCTGCCGCTTTGGCTCAGGCGTCGGAAGAGCTGCAAAAAAAGCCACGCACGAAGAGCTGAGTTTATTTGGTGGCTGTTGCTAGACACCTGCTGAACAGAATCAGCACACACTATCCTAGAATGCAAGCAGTGAGTGGGTCACGTGTATGGAAGGCACGTTTTTCCTTCCGGCCTGTAGTGCAAGTTCGCAGCCGTCCGCATAGCAGACGTCTGCTTTGCTGTATGGTGTGTTTTGCTTCGGTCTGTCAGGAGCCTACCCATGACCAAATCTATGCACCACTCGTAGGAGAGACGGGGTACCGAGCCTAACCAACCCGTACTACCCACACGAGCAAGGAAACAGCCCAAGCACAACAGAGTCCAAGTTGGACGAGTCAGGCATCCAGTGGGAAATGTTGCCACGGCACGGGCTTGTGGTCCGTGTGTGTAATTTGAAAGGAACTGAGGAACATCCTACGACGGTTGCAGTGAGGACTGCTGATCGGGTGGGATCTGGCAGCACAAGGACACAGCATCAAAAAGCGTCATGGTATCTTGGCAAAGGCATCTACGAAAAGTCTTGCACTTTTGACATGTTCTTCTTAACCGGCAGCATTGAAGAGTGCTGTCACGAAACCAAGCTTCCACTAACCACAGTTCCCTCCACACACGGTCGTGCACATTTACATGGATTCACACGTTGGAGTCTTTGATGTGGCAATGGCACCGCAGCTGAAAAGACAACAAGTTATTCTGGGTTCTGGCTTTCCTAAATTGCTTGGTTTGTGTGGCTACCTCTCATTGCAGAGCTTTCTCAGGATATTCAGGAGGGTTTCTTGTATCAATATGCTTAATTATATGCTCAATAGATCTGTGCGACCCAGGGTATAGATGACCTTCATCGCTGCGTTTCGATCGAGTACCAAATTGCCAAAGGATTTTGCCAATCTTCCGGGTGAGGGGTTCATGTGGGCTTTGAGTTTCAATGATTCCACTCGCACTGCTCAGTGTTTAGCAAAGATACAGATGGCCTGTGGGCCGGGCTGCGGAATCCAGAAATGCTACAAATGTTTACACTTCATGTCGCATGCTTGGTACCTTGGTACAGTGGACATGGTTCCCCTCCAGTCACTCCCTGTCGGCACATTTGCACATCGCCAGGATGTCCGAAGCCAATCGCAGCAGCACCATGCAGCTTGTAAGCACCGAAACATGATAGTCGGCAGGATTTGTGCTGCATCCTTCTCATGAACTCGCAAGGTTGCAGCAGGCAGAAGCAGCCGCGAGCCTAAGTCACCGCTCCTGTCCACAATTAAGAGCTTCCGGCTCAAGCCCGCCGACACCGCAGGCGTCATATGACCAAGGAGTCTCTGAGGTGTGGTTCCTATCAGACTTCGGGTCTGACCTGCGGGTTCGAGCAGCGCCGGCGTAGACCCCTCTGTAGCCGGGACAAGTGGCCTGAGATTGTTGTTGTCGTTGCAATTCAGAGAAGGCATCTGAGGTATGCTAACCAGGCTTCGGGCGCACCTCTAAAGGTTTGCAGTCCTTTTCGAAGGTTCGGAGCCTTTTGAGACGGCTTGGGAGCTTTGTTTTTTCGTTGCTTGCCGGGTCCGCCGCGCCAGGGTTTCCACCCTTCCGCGCGGTGGAGGGAGCAGCACTTGTGTTACGCCTAGTTATGCGAGACAAGCGGATGGCGAGCCGACTATGCATCCGCGTTGTCCTCCAGCCTGTGCTTTCTTTTTACAAGAGGACCCGAGTCAGGGAGCAGCTTGCTGCACTTGAGTGCCATGAAAGAAGCTTTCAAGAATGCCTGGTTCTTTGCCTCTTGTCGCTTTTTCTGGACGAGACACCTATGCACAGATAAAAAGGGCTTGGGAACAAGTCTAACTCAAGAGGTGAAGATGGGTGCAACTTTACGGCCTGCAGCTCGAAAGCATCCCTTGTGGGAATTCTCGTGCTACGCGGCGCCCTTGAGGGCCCGGGACGGCTATCCTCTCTTGTGTGGGAAGCCTTTCCACAGGCCGCCGGGCCAGACCTGTCTTGAAAGTGCAAATTGGGACACCGTGGACCCAGGTTCAAAGGAGCAAATGCGGTGCTATGGGTGTCGGGCTACGGCAGGCTGTCGACATAAACATGCAGACGAAGGCGGTGTCAGGCAACCGGAAGCTATCAAACGGTCACTAGCGGATGCAATGAAACTTTCATTCGGTTTGTGAATAAGTACGAAAAATTGCGGAGACTATTACTTCGTTGTGTTCGTTACAGTCCTTGCACCGACGGGGTCAGGCAGTGCTAGGAGTGACGGCCTACGTGCCTCGAGGACATACCATCCTTGCCGCCCATAGCTGGTAGTCCGGAGTTGCCTAGTGTGGGACGACACGAGACGGGGAGTGATAGACGGCATTCTTGAATACGACCCACCGATTGCCAGTTCGTGAATATTGGATGCAATGGCTCACACTGATGGTGTCGGAGGCAATCTCATTTTCGACGCACCTGAGCAGGACTGGTAAACTAGTAGTGCAGTTAAGAAACCTGTCTCCTTGAAGCAAGCGTCCAAGAGATGCCACAATATTGCGCAGTGTGCAGTATGCAGTGTGGTACTTCGACTTACTCAGGCCTCACCGTCTCAATTCCGTTAGCTACGTAGGCAATGCATTTTCCTTTTTTGAAGATGTCGGCGGGTCTGCAACAAAGCTGGCTTACTGTTGAAAGTTGATTGGCTAGGTGCTATTACTGTGCTATTTCGCCCGCTATGAGCTCAGCGTCCAATAAACATGTTAATGCTGTTGTTGTTGTTGTTGTTGTTGTTGTTGTTGTTGCTAGCGGCGTCGCGGCATTTGGGCAAGGGGGTTGTGTGGAGCAGTTGGGTGGGGTTGTGTGGGTCGACGTGTTTGGGCAGGGTTGGGGGGTTTGTGTGGAGCGGTTGGGTGTTGTGTGGGTCGACGATTAAGCGGTCGTACTGGGTGGAGTGGGGGACCCTTCAACACGGCGTGCTTCCCGTCCCCATACACAACTTCCGATGCATTCTCACGTCAAAAAGAATTAAACTGGAGGGTGAGTCCAAACCCATCCAACATGCTGCCTGATAGCAGATGGTCGTCAAGGCATGTCGCGGCTCCGGGAAGATATTTGGAAAGACACGACGCAAAGGCGTCAGCGTCGTTGGCGCTCAGGTCGCAGCACTTGAAGATCCACTCGGCCGGGACCTGCTGGAACGGACTGGCGTAGTTAAAGACGATGCAGACGTTACAGACATTCAGCGGAAGTGTAACGGAAAGTGGCAGATGCGAAGGATGCCGGCGGTTGGCAAGCAAGCCTTGGGCCAAGACAACGTGAGGATATGCTGTCTACCTTCTTCCGGACGACTGTTGGCTGTAAGTTGTATGAAGTTGAAAACCTGCTCCTCGCGCAAACTGATTAAGTGGCCTTCCATCTTTAAAGCGACGAGTGAGCCTTCCTCAGCCTCAGGCCTTCAAGCGGTGGTGCCAGGTTTGGGAGCCACAGCAAAATCGCCGAAATTGCGCCGAACTTAGCTTTGGGCAGTGCTGTCGCCCGAAGCTTGGTGTCCCACGAAATCTGACATTGTCCATTTTTTGCTGTTGGATTCAACAGACGCAGCACGCTTTCTCATGACATGTTTTGCCGCACTGCAGTGAACCACTCGGCTCAGCAACGCTGAAACTTCATTGCCCTCAGTTGCACCCCCAAGTCACTCGCTATCGTGCATTGGCGTGCATACAAAGGCGGCCCGGCATCGGCAATGGCAGCTCTCCGTTTTCTCGGGCGCAGTTCCCGGCTGCCGGCCGAAGGTCTCCTCGCTGCGACTCTTGCCGAGGCTTGAAGGCTCATGGACGCAGGCGAAAATTGTCGAACAGGCACTCATCTCAGTGCATCACCAGTCTCATGGCCCGAATGGTCTAGACCAGTCAGCCGCCCGTTTCCATTGTTTCCTCTCGGTCCAAAGGCCCCTTGCTTGGCAAATGTGCGCAACTACCCGGAGCACTGATTCGCACCAGATCCTTGCAACCTCAAAGTATTTTGCACGCGAGAGCCCGAACCACCCCGAGACCCTACAACGAGCCCAAGACTCACAGAGCGAAGTCGAAAGTAGAACTTTGAGAAATCCTCGACAAGCAAGGCTGAACCCCTTTCGGAGGTTTTGACACTGAAAACTCGTCTTGGGGCGGTCTGGTCTGACGGACGGCACCCGAACCTTCGTGGCGGCAAACAGAACCACCAGCCGGGGGGGGGTACATGCCGAGCGTGATGCCTTCGTTGACTGTCTCTGCAAATGATAGCACGGTGTGCGAAGCTGCTTGTGTTATCCATGGTGGTGGCATGGCGTCCCACCAAATTGTAAGTTGATCGAGGTGTCCTTTGACAGAATAAGCTCGAGAGCATTCCATGCAGAGTGGATCCCAGCCTGGCTGTTGAAGTGGTTCGAGGCATCAGTATCGCCAGCGGATTGTGCGATAAATTTCAGAAGTGGCAGCAGAACAGTGAAAGGAGAACGAAGACACTGCCGCTTATTGGCGCAGCAGGCAATTCAACAGAACAAGCACGCAGACTCTTTTAACTGATTGTGGACACTGTCAGGCCAGGCCGGTTTGTCGTAGGGACTCGGTTGAAGGACCACCTTTTAAAGATTCGTAGCACGAGCCCTGTGCAGCAGTAGCATTGGGCGTACGGCAGTACACGCGGAGCCTGGCGTCGGGAAGTCCTTCGCCGCTCTGCTGGCGCTGCCTGCTGAGCGGTGTCTTCCAAAAAAAGCACGACACTACTGCTGGGCGGTGTCTTCCGACGCCAGGTATTGATTGGATTTGACCAAGGCAGATGACCTGATCTCGGTGTTGAAATCGTGCAGGGTCGCTTTCCCTTTTGGGCGCGGATCAATCTGGGTTTCGAAGGCCAGAGCGATGTCGACACCAGATTTTTTCATGTTGGTGATACCAGGGCTCCGAAAATCTATTTGCGAGCGGCCCTCCCGTCCCTCCCTCTCTCATCTCGCTCTGACTCTCTATCTCTGTGTGGAGTGGATGGGAGATTCTTTTTGCACCCGGTTTTGCTGATTGGTGGAGTGCAGGTCATCATCCCTCACGGTCTATTCACACAAGGTTGGCTGCCTCGGCCAGCCCCGGAACATTTCGGAGTGGTCCTTTCGGAACCAGGCCTGAGTTTCCAGAACTGCTCCATCATGCTGCAGGTTTTGGGGCATGGAAGGTGCTTCTGTCTGCCAGTCGGTGAAGCAAGGCAGCAGAAGGTGCTTGTTTCTGCACTTGCAGGCTCCGAATCAGCGAGAGAAGTTCTTCCAACGAGGCAGGTGTCGACCACCCTCTGTCGAGTCGTTAAAGATGCGAAGTGAATTCGGTGCGGGGGACATCGAGGGACCAGACAAACTTTGAGCGCAGGGCGCAGTAGCGTCTTTCTTTTCTTCTCGAGCGGCCTGCTGAGGCCTTGTTCCCTTCGCGCCAAGTCTGTGGATTTCTTGGGTAAGTGGCGTCGAGCATTTCTTCCCGCTCTGCATCTCTGCGCCTGCTTCAGCATGCGGATGTGCAGATACATGCGGGGAGAGCAAGCTCATCTCGCCAGCCGCACGACATCAATGTCCTTTCTCCTTGAAACCGAAACCTTTGATCTGGCTGTGACTGGGTGAGATTTGTGATGTCGACAAGATAGGGTCGATTCAAAACAGATCCGCTTCCCACATCCGTTGATTCGCAGCTTAAGCTGATCGAACAAGTCAGGGAAGTTTTGTTCGGCTTGGCATGGCCACGGTCAGGCTCAGATTTCTGATCAGCTTCGACAAGACCTCGCAGAGGCATTCGAAGAAGGCAGGGTGTCGAGGTGTCACGGCTTCATGTTTTCCCGACAATACTCCGAGCTGCCAAAGGTGGGATGGTTTGTGTCTTGGCATTGCGCCCAGCAGACTTGGCACCCGGGATTAAGCACGGACATCTTGGGCCAAGGCGTGAGGGTATTGGAAGTCCAAGGTCAACTACACTCGCTTGGGGGGTGGCCACTGGAGCCCGCTGGGCGGTATCGAACCTCAGACAGAAGACAGAAGAGTTTGGAGGTCTTGTCATGTGGAGGTATGTGGTAACAACCTGTGGTCGCAGGTTGGAGCGCTGGCCATGTCCTCATCCTAGACACCAACGACATGCGACTACCCCCGCACTGGGCTGGGAACTAAGAAAACACGCGTTTTCTTTCTGGCGTTGTCTTCGCTTCTTCGCTCCAAGCGGAGGTCAAAGTTGAAACCTTGACAAAGTCAATGTGCATCCAGCTCAGCTGCTGAGCTATGCTGCTATGCTGAGCTGCTCAGTGTTGCCCATGGGACGGTGAGGCAGCCTCAACCGAGCAACGGGGAATCCACGCGGGCTACTGCCTTACAGCTTGTGGTTTTTGTGCAACCAGGGTGTGGTAACAGAGTGGTTGTCACGCATGCCTACAAAACTGAGTGCGAAGGTACTTACTTCTGCGCAGGGAGGAGGTGCGAACAGCACTCACGACAAGCTGACCACTGCCTTTCAACATACTGTGCAGACATTCCCACACGTTCCAGGCTGACAGCACGTGAGCCCACGTGATACTCCTTGCCAGGCAAGCCACATTGTACAGGTGCTTGCAGCAAAACACGGCAAAAGGCTTGGTGGATGCGGTAAGAATGGTAGTAGTATGGGTGCTTGTGGTGGTGGTAGTGGCAGGGGTAGTCGCAGTCGTCGTCGTAGTGGTAGGATGCACCAGCAAGAGCATGATATCAAAGTCAAGCTTCAGCCAGATGTCAGGCGAGGTTGTAACACTTGTTCATTCGGGCTGTGCTGACTCCTCGACATTCACCTACTCCCATATTATGCTGACACATCAGGGATGCCCATTGGCTTTGTTAACAATCGGGGCTTGTTCTCCACATGTAGCGGCCGTCTGCAGCCGCGGGGCTCTGAAATTCCATGGAGTCCCAAGATGTGACCATCGGCGATGATGCCGCTCACTGCTTTCTGCGTGGCTCGGATTCGTGTATGGCATTTGCGTGGGACTCGTGACATGGCCGTGCTGATTTGATGGAAGGTGGTTGCTGCACTTTCTCTCTCTGCTGGAATCTGTCGGCGCCCCATAAGCGAGGGTGATCACATGATCATACAAAGAAGGCAGCAGTGCTGTGGCAGAGTCTGTGTGCAAGTGATTGTGCCGAGGTGAGGCAGCACAGGCCGAATGTTTTTCAGCTTATCTCGCGTCAGCTCACGCCTTCTGACACTGTGTGTGCGTGCGTGGGTGGGTGTGTGTATGTGTGTGTGTGTGTCTAAGTGTGCGTGTGTGTGTGTGTGTCTATGTGTGTGTGTGTGTGTGTGCGCGTGTGTGTGTGTGTGCGGGTGTGTGTTTGCTGGATCAGCCTCCCCGGAGGAGTCCGAGAATAATGTGGAGCTGTTGCAGCGCAAGCTGACACTGGAAAATCGGAAGCCTCACGTGCTACTCTTTGTCGCCGACTGTATGGGCTGGGCAGGTCTTGGGGCCCACCGAACCGCTGGAAATTCAGCAGAGGCCCAGGGCAAAGCCGAGACGCAGACCCCAATTTTGGATAAGCTTATCCAAGACGGGGTGCTTCTAGAGAGGCACTACACGAGCTCATCGTCCGTTCCCTCCCGGCAATCCTTGATTAGTGGTCGGCTGCCACGTGAATTTCCTCAACCGCAGGTTGGCGTTTCGAACCCTACTACCTTCTGGAATCCAGAAGACAATGTCTCTGGCTTCTTCGGCATTCCACGAAACATGACAGGCATCGGCAGCAAGTTAAAGCAAGCGGGTTATGCCACCCATTACGTGGGGAAGTGGGCTGCGGGCCATGCCACTCCGGAGCAGACTCCCTTAGGCAGAGGCTTTGACTCGTTTCTCGGATATTTGGGTGCTGAGAATGATTACTGGTCGAAGCTAGGCGACTGTGAGGATTTCATTCGCAATATATGCGTGGAGATGTTTCAGGATTTTTCTCTATACAATGCCACATATCGTGGCGGGGTGGATGAGATGATTGCTGCAGAACTCGGCTGCAGAAGGAACGTGACAGGCAGTTCGTTCACAAAATTTGGCTGCGACGAAGAGGATCTCAATGATTGCTTGCCGGATAGCTGCCACGAAGAGTCCATGCTTCTTGAGTATGCTATGAGACTTATCAAGAACCACGACTCCTCAAAGCCACTGTTCCTTACTTACTCGTCGCACCGTGTGCACCCCCCTTACGAATTCACTGCTTCGGACTCAAAGTTGGAAGCCAAAGTTCAGAAGTCCGTGAAGGAGGCTGGTATTGAAGAAAAACTTCCGTGGACCACTCCCCGCAAGGATATGGCTGTCAGCCTGGCCTCCACGGACGTTATCATGGGAAGGCTTGTTGAGGCTTTAAAAGAGCGCGCCATGTTTGAAGACACGCTGGTCATTTTCATATCTGACAACGGCGGAAGCGTCCAAATCAGGTCGGGTGCAAACAATTATCCCTTGAAGTCCGGCAAGTTTTCAGAGTGGGAAGGCGGAGTGCGCACCAATGCTTTCCTCTCTGGAGGTTTCATCCCAGCCAGACATCGCGGCAGCAGTTTTCATGGGGTCATCCACATCGCCGACTGGTATGCAACTCTTTGCAGTTTGGCTGGTGTGAGCCATGTCGATGATGTTTCTGCCCAAGCCAATGAGCTCCTTCGTCTCCAGGGTAAACCACTGCTAGGTGAGGTAGAGGGGCGGCCGCAGCTGCAGAACATCTTCTCCGGAATCAATGGCCGCCCCGACGCACTGCACTTGAGCCCGACCACAGTACTCAAGTGGCCTTACAAACTGGTCACCGGGCAGCAGAAGTATAGCTTCTGGCCTGGTCCGGTCTTCCCCAACTGCAGCAGCGACGGCCCAGATGATGCCCCTCTGGATGTCTACACGCACTTTTTCTCTTTTGAGAATGAATCTACTCGCCTGGAGAAGGACATGGTTGAGGACTGCGGCAACGGCTGTCTCTTCAACGTCGAAGTCGACCCGAGCGAGCGCTGGGACCTGTCTGCGCATGAAGACCACGCTGGCGTGCTGTCAAGGTTGCAAGAAGAGCTGAAACTGATGAACTCCAAGGCCTTCAGGGCAGATATTGGCCATTCACAGGTACAAGCATGTCTGCAGTCATTCCAGCTGGGAGGCTTCCTAGGCCCTTTCGTGGATGTGGGGGACTTCTACACAACTCAGCAAGTCCCGGGAGTGGAAGAGCTGCAGACGTACAGACAGGAGACAGATTTTGTGTTGGCATGTGTTTATGTATCAAATGTGGAATACCTTGAAAAACATCGCCTCGAACAGCACATCAGAGTACTGCACAACAATCCGCAATTAGTCTTGTAGCTTTTTAGCTCAGAATAGAGAGAACGTCTATCACCCCGCCTCCGAAAGCAGTTTGAGCTTCAAGCATGTGGTTCCCTCAAGCAGTGTTCCAGGAGCTGATGCAGCTCCACGCTCGCCTCAGGGACGAAGAGTTCCTAAACGAAACGGCCCGGGAGATGTACGAGAAGCTTGGTTCGCTATCTGACAGTCTCGGCTGTTCTGACTAGCAACAAGAGTCACTAAGCAAACTCTTCAGCTTTGTGCTGCAGGTGCAGTAGCAGGGCTATCAATGGTAGCAAAAATGCGGCGGTCATGACGATGAAGGGATGTGTGATGTTGCTTGGAGTTGAAACAAACACAGTTATGATATCTGTTGCTATGACCATGTACTGGTACCAGTTTCGAGACCATGTTTACTATGAGCAATAAACCTTCCGCAAGTGTTTGTAGTAGAACTGAGCGAGTATCAGGTATAAGTGTGAGTGTGAGTGTTAGGGTTGGCATTGTTATGACGATGAGTATGAGTGGGAGCCATCTTGCAGCCCTGCATATTCGTGTTAGATTTGGTAGCACTCTAGAAGATGTCTGTACAAACTATGAAGACCCCTAAAATCCTGTTTGGCTCAAAAGAGATGGAGAAAGTCAACCTGGGAGCCCAGGTCATTTCTTCTGATGACGAGGAGATTGAAAAAGGCGACGAAGATTCAAAAAAAGGCTTCAAAAGGGAAGTCTACAGATTACCTTGTTATGCGAAACCCCGACACCGGGGAGTTCTATCGTGTATGCAAGGACCTCGCCAATATTGCGTATGTGGGCCTTGCATACGATGAAGACCTGCAAGAGGAACTGATAGGATCCAATCTCGTCTCAACGAGAACAGGAAGCATGTGGAAGCCAGAACCTCAAGTGATCCGAGGAAGAAAGAAGAGGTCAAGCAAATCATGCACAAAAGCAGATGGAGCCGCATTCGCAAAAAACCTCTTATGCTCAAAAATGAGGAGGAGGAACACGAAGAAGTCAAGGACTGGGACCCTCCAGGGGAAGGACCATCCTCGTCGTCTAAACCTCCCAACAGGGAGCAGCCAAGAGGCGTGAGACAGACTATGATTGGACTCAATCATACGTTCCATTTCCTTCAGCGACCAGATATCATCCAATGTGAACTCTGTCGCCGGGAAGCAGGTTACTTTTGCTACCAGTGCGGCAAGATCTTCTGCAGTGATTGTCGCTTGACACCCGCAGGAAAAGAGCGCTTTCTGCAAATGCATTCTTCCTCCGGATTATCTCGAACCACCAGGTGTCTCAGCAGGTATGAGCTCTATTGAGACACAGGTTTTAATCGGGACAGTCCTCTCACTAGAGGAGATTGACGCGCTCATGGTGGAAACTTTTCGGTTCTGCGAGATCGCACGGGAAGATTTCATGAGGAAAAATCCAACCTTGGACCCCTCAAGTTTCAACGGTCAATGTCTTGTTCCTATTTCGACTTATGTCAGTGCGGATGAACCTCCAACCTTGCAGGAATACAGGGAAGTGAACAGTAAGTTCATTCAGATCAGAGGATCCAGTACCTGTCACCTGCAATCATTCATCGACCTCACAGGCCGCGAGGAAAAGAGCGTTCTCGACGGACACTTTGAGTTGGTCCGCAACCGCCTAGCAGGCGTCAATAAACTCGAAAACTTTGAGACGGTTCGAATGCACTCGGAGTGATTTTATGCAACTGGGGCAGCATGGGCCGAGCACCAAGACCCTACAGCAATCCTAAAAAGGAGTTTAAGCCGGAGAAGGGATTTGACTACCACCCACTGGTGGATATGTGTTTCAAGAACTCTGCCCATTTCACCCAGGCGGACGCTCTCAACACGAACTATGCGGTCGAAGTGATGAGAAAATTCCAACATAGAGGAATTCTCGTGTCAACTCCTGGCCTGGAGCCTCCTGCACATTCCTGCACCATCAATTTACCTTGGCGTAAAAGGAGATCCGACCACGGATGTAGCGCTGGTTTTCACTATTACAGGCACCGGACGGTCCGTCCTAAGAATGGAGGACCCAGGCAACAGGTTTGGGCCTGCCATCAGAGAAAGATATTGGGAATTGGTTGGCGCAGATCCACTGAATGGCCTAGATCCTAACAAGGATGCGCCTACAGATATTTCTTACCTGACACCGGACCCATGGATGCATACTTCAGATCGATCTCCCATGCCGGTCCTGTGTCACTGGCAGGGGCTA